GGGGGGGGATGTCAAGTTCTAGGGAACAAACATGCCTGTAAGACTTCAGTAAGAGTGATGCAAAACTTTTCACTTTAGAGCTGGGGAACGGATGGTACGGGGATATGAGCATTTGAAAAAAGATAATGGAGGCCATTGAAGAAATTTAGACCAGTGTCAAGATCAAGGTGAAAGAGAAAAAAAAAACATATCGTGACCCCAGTGCTTTCTTGTCGTATCTCCATTTTTAATAACAGCGAAAAAGTTCATAACAAAGAGTGAGCATAAAAAGATGTCACCTTTTCACTGTTTAAAAAATGGAGATACGACAAGAAAGCACTGAGGTTGAGAATTATTGAGGCAATGGGAACTTCTGTAGAGACTGAATGACGCAGCGTAGGAAAAAAAATAAATGTGAGGCAGCGTGGTGGAATCAGGCTCTCGTCAAAATAATCAAAGTGAAGAAACTTGCATTTTTGCTCTGGTTTGTGAATTTTTATCAAATTTTTGTTTTTTGCCTCAACACCTTTCATACCCATTAAAAAACTCATTTCTCTTTAGATTTTCTGAAAAACGTTGATTAAAGGCACAAAAAAAATGTACATTTTCAGTTACCACGGACTCTTAAGCAAAGGAAATAACTAATCTTTTGCGGCCATTTTCTCACTAATTTTACCTCTGAAAACAGGTGACCCTCACCTCCTTCTTTTGCAAATATCTCGACTTGTGTTCAAGATAAATGGATATTTTTTTCATCCAAATAAAGACAAATGAACAAGCTTTAAGATGATACCAATACCTCTACATGCCCCGAAATTGACGAGAGCCTGATTCCACCATGCTGCCTCACAAATCATTTCCTCGTCACAGTGGCAGACATTTTCTTTTTTTTTTTTAAACAGTGAAAATGTGACTTCTTCTTAAGCTCACTCTTTGTTATGAATTGTTTTCACTTTAAAAAAAAAATGGAGACATGACAAGAAAGCACTCCCTAGGTCTTAGTGGGCAACAAGAAATCACTGAGGTCGTGGTATGTTAACTTACTTATCCACATGTGTCATCATTGTTGGCTTAGAAGGATGACAGTAGTGTACAAATTCCGTTGTCTGTATTGATGGAACAGTACACATACCATTCTAACCATTGTTTTATGGGCTATTGATTAATTTTGTATAATCAACAGCGAAAGTACACCAGTTTGGAAGGATCAGTTGGAATTAAGTCTGTTTAAAAAAAAATCATTTTATCATGATTATGTTAATTATTTTGTCTTTTTATTTTTTTTTCTGACATTTTAGAGTAAAGTGTAGGTTAATTATAATAATAATAATAATGATAATAATAATAATAATAATAATGATAATAAACGACATTTATATAGCACTCAACCCCGAATAAAGTACACTGGCTCTGTCACTTTACAATACAGTACAACATACAACAGTAACATAAAACGTTGTGCTCTGACTAAAGAAAATTATTCCAAATATTCATCTTATTAATTTAAAAACAGAAACGACTTCAGCTGACATTTGAATGAATCAAAAGATTTGATCTCTCTCAAAGTACTTGGTAAATCATTCCAGATCTTGGGGCTTTGGTATTCAAATGCCCTTTCACCCATTGTTTTGATGACTTTAAACTGCGAGTTGGAATGTACAGTCTTAACAGATTTGATAAATATGATGGTGCATTATCATTCAAACATTTGTGACATAGGGTGGCCAACTTGTACACAATCCTTTTCTCAACACGAAGCCAATGCAAAGTTCGTAAAAGAGGTTTAGCAGAGTCTCACTTTCTTTTCCGTAAACTAAACGTGCAGCATTGTTTTGGACAGTTTGAAGTCTTTTAACTTTCTTCAGTGATATTCCTGATAACAAAGAGTTACAATAATCGAGTTTTGATAAAATTAAGCTAGTTACTAGTAAAGCAGTATACTTAGTATTGATCAGATGACGTATGTTACTAATTTTTCTTATTTCTAAATACATGCAGCTGATCAGATAGAACGTTGGTCTGTTGGCTCTGAATGGCAGGAAAGTTTTTTTTGTACCCCCAGTTGTTTATTCATTAATCTGTTCTGTCTCTTTTTTATCATTCCAAATTAGTTGATTCTCTTTGTTTGTGCATTATTGTATCGGTATGTGTGAAGGATTTTGGCTGTTCCATGTATCTCTTTTGCACACTGCTAGTGCTACTTTAGGAGTTACCAGTTATGGAATTTTTGTTATTTCATAGAGGGCAATTTGTGGGTGGTTGACGGGTGCTCTGGCTTGGTTTGCTCCTTCATCAAACATCTATTGTCCTGATCTCTCCTCCTCCTTTTTTTATGTTTGTTACTCTCTTGTAACACCTCTAATCTTCGGCACTTTTATAATATTAAGTTATATGACCTTATTGAGTTGTAAGTGCCGTAAAACTATTACTAAGACATAGAAGGCAATTGTGAGCGCTGAACTGATAATGGTTCTTCTCCGTCTCCAGGCCAACATCGTGGTGAGCATGAAGGAAGACGTGGGCAGCAAGGTCACGCTACGACAGCAGCCGTTTGCCTCTCCAGAGAAGCTCCATGACGTGACGGCCGAGACCTACCGCAACATCAAGGCCAAACTGGCGCTGGTGCAGCGCAGCATGGCCCTCTACCTTGCCAACCGCGACACGGAGGCCATTCTGTTCCGGCCCATCAAGGTGAGTGGGTGGTTGGCAGGTGCTCTGGTGTTGTTTCCTCCTTCTTTCCTATCAAACATCTATCGTCTTATCTCCCCTCCTTTTTTGTGTGTTACTCTCTTTTAACACCTCTAACCTTCGTCGCTTATATGACCTTATTGTATTGCAAGTGTCGTAAAACTCTTACTAAAACTAAACATCAAGGGGGGGGGGGGGGGGGGGACATTATGGAAGAAGTTTATGCTGGGGAGGGGGGGGGGGAGATGCGTTGTAGTCGTTTATGGATAGCAGTGCACCTTTAACACCTTTAATCTCTGGCTTTTGTATGAACTTATTGTGTTGCAAGTGCCGTAAAACTCTTCCTAAAATGAAATGATAATACCTGGTCTCATGCGTAGGTCACACCTCTGTCATACATCCACAGGTGAACGTCCTCCTATTTTTTAACGAAATGCTAATACCGCGTCTCATGCGTATATCCACAGGTGAACGTTGTCCTAGTTTTTAACGAAATGCTAATACCGCGTCTCATGCGTATATCCACAGGTGAACGTTGTTCTAGTTTTTAACGAAATGCTAATACTGCGTCTCGTCTCATGCGTACGCCCACAGGTGAACGTTGTCCTAGCTTTTAACGAAATGCTAATACCGCGTCTCATGCGTATATCCACAGGTGAACGTTCTCCAGAGCTTCCAGAAGCTGCAGGAACTGATGACTCAGCACTACACGGAGGAGGACATTTTGATAGTGGCTTGTCCCAGTTCTGAGCAGGTTGGTCTTTTCTCTGTCTATCTGTCTCTCTCTCTCTCTGTCTGTGTCTGTCTGTCTCTCTCTCCCTCCCTCCCTCCCTCCCTCCCTCCTTCCCTCTCTCCCTTCTTCCCTCTCTCCCTCTCTCCCTCTCTCTCTCTCTCTCTCTCTCTCTCTCTCTCT